AAAAAAAAAAAAAAGAGTAATATGTGCTCATTACTGAAAACAGGAAATAGAGAAAATATTAAAAATATAAAAATTACCTACGAGAATCTCCACCCAGTAGTTAGTATTCTCAACCCTCTTTGCATATTATTTTACATTTGCAGGATTATACCTTGAGATTATATTGATTGTACAATATTGAAGCCTGCTTTTTTCAGCAAATGATAACCATTTCTCCCATCATTTAAACTGTGTGTAAACACATCCCATAGTACTTGACATTTCATGTGTTGTTTTTTTGTCTATTACCTCTATTGCACTCATTCACTTGCTCATTTATTCTTCAAATGTTAATTAGCCACTTTTCCACACTAAATTATTAACTCCTTGTGAGGCCATTTAAAAAAAAAAAAATTTTCCCCAAACCTCTAAGCACAGAGTTAATCAAATGAGAAATGTTCAGTAAATACTTGAGAATGCATTTGCCAAAATTTCATTTATCCTCAACTTTTTGGAAAGACTCTTATATCAAAGTACACCCTTAAATTGTGTACATTGACGGTTGATCACCTTTTAATAGAAAGGTAGTAAGTCCTTAATTACTGTGTCTCACATTTCCTTTTTAAGATTGGAATTTTGACCACAGTGTTCCACAAAAACAAAGTTAATCATTTGTGGCAACACACAGTAGACAAGGAGTAAGTTAGAGTTTGTACCAAGTTTTAAGACCTGTGCACCCAGGCCAGGTGCTGGGGCAGAGTGGGTGATACAAGTGGACTCCAAAGACACAAGCATGTGTTGAAGAACGTGAGAATGTTTGGAGGAGATGCCGGTAATTGGTGCTATTTGGAAGTCTTGTGAGACCGAAAGAGAAAAGTGATGGGGAATCAGGTGGCAGTGTTAACTGAGGGTCAGGTGAGCTAGTGGGCCTCACTGGGTGTCACCTCTCCCTCAGGGTGACTGAGACGGAGACGCAAAGGATTACTCAAAGCCCGTTTTTCCTGAGCAGTGAGAGGCCCCAAAGGGGTTAAATCCCAAGAGATGACTTCTTTAAGAGAGAAGTAATTCCTGGGAAATGACCTCGAATTAGGGCTTTTCTTGTTTTTTTTTTATCGTCCAGGCAATTACAGCAAAGAACACAGGTGTTTAATCAGTCAGTGAAAACATAAACAAACTGGCTACATAACAATTTTCATTAAGGCAGGTGCAACTTAAAAACAGTTTAAGCAATTTACAATCAAAGGAGTCGTAAAACTAAGCTATGTGACATACAAAAGAACCAATGAGATAATCGTTATGGCAACACTTAGTTCCCTAGGACACTTAGAGAAGCAGTTGAAGGTCAAATGTGGAACCAGCCACTATTTGGCAGAGCAGCCTTGAAGCTTTCAGGACACATACTTTCCCATACTTAGGTTTAGCTGCATCAAGGGCATCTGCCCTTAGAGCAAGCACTTTTGCTGTGTTACAAGTTTCACATCCACACCAGAGACTTTTTAGTCCTGTGAAAGTTTTCTGTTTTTTCCCAAGCTTAGCATTTCTATGTGCAATACTAAAAGGAAGAACCTCAAACTACAAGGCTTTGTTTTGGCCTTGCTAAAACTACGGGCTGTGGCCCCACTGTGCTACAGACTAAACCAACGGGCTTTGGCCCTTCTAATAGCTAAGGACCATGGTCCTACTAAGATAAAGATCCTACTAAGCTACAGTCTGATCTAAGGACTGTGGTCCTTCTAAGGACTGTAGCCCTACTAGGCTAAATGTTAAGGCCCTGTGAAATACATGCACTTTATTAATGTCAGTACCCTCTACAATTGGGGGTCTGTCCATTGGTAGAAGGACGGCATTCCTGGTCTTAAGAGGCTCCAGCATAGCCAGAGAAGCATTGGGATATCTTGTACTGAATACACTACCCTAGCTCACTCTTGACTGTAATTAGAGGAGGAGGACATGTTTTCTGAAGCTGACCCTCCTCTAAGATTGCCAGTTCCTGTTTACTATCTCCTGTCACAACCATAGTTATAGAATTCACTCAAGGAAATGTTCTGTGTGTTATGAGTGACTTGTATGTTTTCTGGAATGAAGTTCTTTTTATTTAGGTGCTCAAGTTTGAGAACATTTTTTTCTTTGACAAAAGAAGAAAGGAAAAGGT